TTTTCACACATGAAGAACACAGCAGGAGAAATCAGATCAGTGTCCTTCAGGTGAAGGGTGCACGTGGTCTCTGTGGAGCAGCAGGAGGAGGGACATCCTTTTTAAACTCAGGCTTTTTTGTTCACTGTACATTCACATTGTTGTCAAATCTTCAAATCAAATCTTCATCTGTGTCTTTTTCATACATGGCGTCTCTTTATCATCCTGAGTTATTTGTCTTCTTATTGTTTTCTGCCTTGCTTGAAGACTAGAATGTCTCTTATGTATCATGTGTCTTTTAGGGGGTCTGGGAGTGGTTTTGGTTAGGGCCGTCCTTTTGTCTGGGGCTCCCAAGGTCCCTCTAAATTCTCTTGCATCCAAGCGTACACTGTGGCATGTTCTGGATGACAGCAACGTTTTAATTTCACAGCAGCCCAAGCTGTAGTCTGTTAGGCAGTGACTATGAAGAAGAAATATTTATCAGTGGTATAAGTTAATTGATTATGTTATTTACTTCATGGGTTTTATAATAAAAGGAGAAGATTACACCACTTGTATCCTTCAACGTTGCAAATGCACCTCAAGTAGAAAATCGGTTCCATCAAATCAGAGACTTTTTCTCCAACTGAGCCTTAAAATAGTGGCTGATGATTTCTCCTCAATCTGAAGGACAAAAGGACCATCCCACCTCCACCCCCACCCACTTGGCAGAAAAACTCATAATCAACCACAGTCGGCTCCGCACCACCGACACAGCAGCTGCTTTCCACTCTGGAAACACTTTTTATTGCTGTTTCTTCCCGAGACTTTTCTTTTCTGTCTCCTTTCAGACGGAAACACCTCTCTGGGAACATAAAGACAATTTTGCTCTGACAGTGACAAGAAGCACAAAGTTTTCAGATTTGTAAAGACATATTTTCAGAATGTATAAATCCCACAGCTAAAAGCATCACAGTCTCCCTCTGCAAACCAGTCAAGGTTTGCATGCCCCATGTCCCCACATGTCTTGGTGATGAGGTTTTGGAGGGCGATCGTTACAAAGTCCAGTACTCTGCAGTTTGTGACAGGGCTGCTAAAGGCTCAATATGAAACAATGCAACATGAAACTTCACCACTAGATGTCACTGAATTCTACACACTGAATCTTTAACAGCAGCAGTGTGATGGAGAAAAGAAAAAGATCTTTTATTCCAATAAATGAATGTTGGAAATGGATGTGCTCCTCATCTGTTCTTAGTACGAGCTGTTTGTGGGTTTGTTTCCCTACACTTAGAAAAATCTCCTCTTACGTAACTAACACATACACATGTTTTAGTTTTTGAGAGAGACATGTAGCTTTGTTTTGATTTGCCCCATCACTATGGCGATGAGGAAGGAAGTACGAGGCTCTGAGTCCGGTATTGAGTCAATTCTCCATTCGACTCATCTACAATAGCGGCCAATGGGGTTAAAGTGTTTTAACCTTCTCGCCTCCTCGCTTCCTATTTCCTGTTGTCTAAATTTATCCAAAGAACAAGCAGTCGACACCCTGCATGTTCAATTATTGTCTCATTATAGTGTAAAATGTTTCTAACTATCAGAAATTATCATCTAATAAAGTACGGCACAGCTTATTCTATATATTCTCGTGAAATCAAATGCACACACACAAGAGTCATGGCACAAAGGAACACAGTTCTGCAAAATTAGCTCATTCTGGTTATTATCTTGTTTTTTATAAAATGTCTGCATCCGTCTGCTGTCTTTGATAAACAGCACAGACGCCATGATGCTATGATAGGAGGGCTGATGGAGGGGGGGGTGATGAGGGAGATTAGGATGTCCATCTGTTGCAGAGCAGCCCGCTCAGATCACCATGTGGAGCTGCTCATTGTTATGATGCTTATATCTGTGTCGCCCCTCAAATGAAAGAAAGACAGAAGTGTTAACAGACAAAAAACAACACATATGTGATAGATGTGAATCAGCCAACAGCATCAGCAATAAACACAGGACAGTCTAAACCTGACTGACTGAGTTACCAAATAAATTCTTTGATAAGAAGGGAACACTTTCCCAAGCAAGGGCCATCTCCATTATTATGAAATCCTCCTGGTAAATGACTGAACACATCTATCACTGTAATGTTTCCACTGTTATGACTGGGACTGCTTCCGTTTGACGAGGCCTCCAGGTCGGGATGATGACGATGATGATGATGATGACGATGACGATGACGATGACGATGATGATGATGATGATGATGATGATGATGCTAGCAGCTGATTTTAACCAAAACAAGTCAAACAAATCTGAGATCAGACCATAATGCCTGTTATGTTTTTGGTAATAAAATAGATTTCTGCTTTGTTTTAAATCAAGGTTAGGTTTATTTGGTATATTGTCATGTCAGCTGTGATTTGGGGATTTTTTTCTAGCGTTTCTGTGTTTTTTAAGTTTCTTCCTGTCTTCCCTCATGTCTCTTCCTCTTCCCAGTCATCTCATCATCGCCACATTGTCAGCCTCATACCTCAGTGGAGGCCGTGCTTTCTGCCTCTCTGGTGATGGATCTTGTGATTCTCTTGTGTGCCAGTGATTAGTTCTTGTTTTCTTTCCTCAGTATCTCCATGCCTCCCACAAACAACCTCTGCACGCTCGCCAGCTGCTTCATTCCAGCTGCTGCTCCACCATCTCAACAATCAGCTTACTGAGGCCTTTTACATTAAATTCAAACCCAAACTTCTTAGTTCTGCATTAAAACCAAACCAAACCGATACTCTTTCAGAAAGGAAGAGGAAGTTTGAATATTAAAATGTTCTATTTCTTTGACTTGCATGATCCGGGACACATTCCTCAACTTGTTATACCCACTACAATAGAAAAAGACTATTCCTCCACTTATATAGGACTATCTCTTCATCCATGCTTTACATAAGTACCAGTAAAGTCTCTTATCATCATTACTGGACTTCCTGCAGCACTGACTCTCAATCCTGTCTCTCACCCCTGAATCTGGCTCCTCCACTACCTCCCAGCTCCACATCTCAGTCATTTTAAGATGCAGAGTCGTCTTTTTTTCCTCTATCCGGAGATTAGTCCTCATTCTCTGAACTCTATCTCAATTCCTCTAAAATAAATCCACCTCTGCAGCCTGACTGAAACTTACGAAACTGTCGTTAGCAGCCATTAAGAACTGAGGGGACTATTACGATTAATGCTCTGAAGTGAAGCTCTTGCTTGTGCTTGTCTCTTCACATAACTATCTACTCATGATGCTTGGACCAAAGAAACCATAAAATCCACTCCAGCGGGAATCCAAAATTTTACGGTGCCAGCAGTGGTCGGTGTTTGTTTGTTCATCACTCCACCACTTTGGTCCACACTGAAATATGGCACCGGGAGAATTCCTGCCTACAGGCTGAGATGATGGAGCCCCTGCAGTTCTCTCAAAGGGGATTGTGCCTTTATATAATGTGCATGATTAGCAAAAACCTACTTTCAAAAGGTCAATGAATTCACAGGCCTGTGTGATGCTAATTATGACATTAACGAACAGCACAGTGCTTTCAGAAAGTACTCCCCTTCACGTTTCACATTTTATGTTGCAGTCTTACACTAGAATCATCTCAAATAAATTTTCATCTCATCTGTAAAAAAATATATATTTAGATCACAGTTTCATTTCAGTCACATTAATCTGGACCAGGTTTAATTAAGGATATCTCTTTATACCATGTTCTTTGTTTTGTTCAGCTGGAGAACCTTCTCTCTGAGTCCTTTAGTTGTTTTCATGTGTCTTCCATTGAGGAGAAGCTTGTCTAAATATTTTAAAGAAACATCTGTGGAGTGTGACATGGATGATTGTCCTTGTGGAAGTTTTTCTCGTCTCCACACAGGATCTCTGGAGCTAAGTCAGAGTGACCGTCAGGGTTTGGTCACTAAGGTCCCTCTCTTCCTGACTGCTCAGTTCTTTTAAGGTTGCATTTAAGATCTATGGAGGCCACATGAGCTTTTATTTTTGCAGGGTTCCCCAGATCTGTGCCTGGACTCAGTCCTCTTTCTCTCTGAGTCTGCAGGCAGATGCTTCAACCTCATGGCTTGGCTGAATTTACATTTACATACAACTGTGAGACTTTAAATACACGGTTGAGTATTTTTTTCAAATCACATGATCAATCAACGAAATGAACCAGACTCTAATCAGCGTAGATTCCAGGAGTCAGAGCACTTATATCAGATTATCCTTTTTGATAAATTTGCAGAAAAACAACTTTTTGTCATGATATTGTAGTTTGATGAGCAAAAAAACCATCAAATTCATGTTAAAGCTGCAACATAAACTTATCTGAAAAAAATTTCAGGGTATAGATTCTGAATGCATTGAAACACACAGTAACAAGAGGTCCATCCTTTACCCTGCAGTCATGGGTCAAGCACCCAAGCAAGTAGATATTCCCCACTGAAGTGCCCTTAAGCAACACTCAAACTTCCTCCAGCTCTGGGCCAATGTGTCTGACCTTGTGCTCTGGAGGGATACCAAAGAAAAAATATTACTATGGCAACACAGGGCCCCCTCTTCTGGTAAATACACAGCAATGCAGCCTGAACTGTTTTTGAGGTAATATCATTATAATCTGATCACAACATATTTTCTTTGATCATATCTTTAAAGACTCACTGAAATTGAAGTTTCCTGACATCACCCACTCACTGAACAAGCGACAATTCACTTTCTTTTTAATGAAGTCAATTCCTCTTATCACTTTCTGCTTGGACATTTTTTCCTAATTGGTTCTGGATCTGAAAGATATCCGACAGAAACATTTCAAACAGACGCTGCTGGATAAATGTGGTTATTTGGGCGTATCAATTTTGTTTTTATAAAAAGAAATAATACACATCTCTATTCTAACAGCTTAAAAAAAAAGTCATCTCATCATTTGTCATTGATGTCTCAAATTGTCCCTGATCAATTCAGCATTTTGGCGAATTCGAAAAAAAGACGAGAAAAGCTGCAACAAATTCACTTCTCAGACTCCCAGCAGAATTGGCTTTTTAATAACAACGATAAAAACAGTCCCGAAACTGCCGTGGTGTTTAGTCAAAGCAAGTATGTACAGTAGTAGGCCAGTAAAAGTACAATACAATCTGTAAATACACATAAGTGAATACAACAACAAAACCAAGGTTGGACAGAAGATTTAAATCAAAAGAACTGAGGTTCACTTGTTTCTCTGTGAGTGACAACATAAAGCTGAAGAAATGCCTGAAAACAAAAACAACTTCTCAGCAGCAAGCTGAACAGCTAACGTCAAATTTGCTAACCAGGATCAGAAACTGTTTTCCACTCAAACCGATGGATTCAAAAGTCAAACCGTCACTGACGTCGTTGCATGTGCAAAACGTGATCAGAGAAAAACAGACAAAACAGCAGAAAAGCATGTGGTGGAAAAAGTGGAATTTTAATATGAAATGATTTGGAGAGCAGATGTCAAAAACTTAACGAAGAAAAAAAAAACACATCTCCCTGTTTCAGGCCACAGCAGAACTGTGCCTCTGTGGTGCTCTGTCTCAGCCGGGAGGATAACACCATCAGTACATTCTGATTTTCTATTTCTAGGCCTTTGACCGTGCAAATAAATCTGTAGTCCGAGAGAATGTAACAAGCGCAAACTTTCAAGTTTAAAGTGAACTGTTGGTTCACTGAATCACAAACCTTCATTACCACGTTGGACAATGTGTGTTATTGTAGGCATGATGCGGCTGAAAAGTCCATCATAAAATAAACCTAAAACAAATGCTTTATTCACTTTAAAATGGCCATGAAGGATATAAGGCCATTCCATTTGTGAGGGAAAGTCCTTCCCGTTGGTCCAGGCTGCTCCGACGCCTGCATCCTCAGTCAAAGTCAGAACCCCTCTGTGTTCAGAAAGGTGGCTGTTGGGCCATTTGGATGAAGTCCTCTGGGGATGGTAAATGTAGAAAGCAAAAGCAACCTGAAGTGTGCGGGGTCCAGCATCTTTTGGGGTCAGTAGGGGTCCACGTCAGTAGTTCTTGGCAAGCTTGCATGTAGAAAAAAAATCTGTTAAGCTGCAGACTCTAAACTTCAAAAGTCCCAAGTGACGGCCACTCTGCGACGGGCGGCTCGAGCTCCCTGGAACATGGGTGGCCGTGGTCGTATTAGCTTGTGTATCAGGCTGTCTGTGAAAATGGCCGCCTGACACACTGGGACAGGAAGTCTCAGAAGCAGTCAGCGAGTGAAAGAGTATATTTGGTCGTTCAGTCGTTGAGGCGAAAGTCGCACAGTTCTTTGTAGATTCTCTTTCGGATGAGAGGCATGTCCTCCTGACTGAACAGCAGCGGCTGCTTCACTGAAAGACGACGGCAGTACTGATGGACAGAAAGAGAAGGTGAGATAAAAGAAATGACAGAAGCTTCTCTCTGTCTTTAGCCCCTCAGGAGAGTGAGCACAGATCACATTTGTGGAGGCAGGAAAGACAGGACACATCTACTTTATTTCTTTTTCTGCCAGGACGGATGAGGCAAAGAATTCAAAGTACTGGGTGATAAACGAAGGACAGCTGTAAAGAATGTCTCACCTCGAGGACAAAAACTCCACAGTCGCTGTCGTTTCTCTGCTGAGGAATACCCTGAGGAGTCAGTAGGTCACAGTCAAGCAGTTGTGTGTGAATCTACCACACATGCATACAGCTTTATCAGTTGTTGACTTAGTAGTAAGACTGATTTAGAAATTGTTGCCTGAGATAAAAAGCCGTATGATTATTTTGTTAATGTAACTCAGACAGAGTCCTGTTCATAATCAACCTGGCAATAAGGAGGTCTCCACTTTGCACTGCAGTTTCAGGACAAAGTGAACGCAACATGACAATTATAATCAGGGCTCAGCTTTACCTTGATGATAGTAATTTTCCAGCCTTTCTGAAACGCTGTCTGTTCCTTCTCTCTGGCTTCAGACTGGAGGTACTTCATAATGTTCTGATAGAGCATCACACACAGACACACATGTACACATAGAGGACAGTTACACTTCAGTGAAAATGGTGCAAATGATGAACATTGTTAGAACATTTTGATTCCTTCACAATGCTACTGTGAGGCAGCAAATCAAACATTTAAAACAATCCTGAACTTTCAGAGGTGGAGGTTATGGACGACAATCATGAGTCTCACTAAGTGGAAACAGTGAGAATATGATCAATATGATCAATCAACCAGAACATCTTAAGCTCTGTATGAAAAATAGAGCTCCACCAATTAGCTTTTTTGGGAGGCTGATGCAAATACTAATATCAGTGAGTAAAAAATTAAAAAGTAAAAAGTCAATAAACAGATTTTTTAGAAATTGTAAAATATCAAACCCATATGACAAAGAAATGTAAAATCTAAACATAATGCATGAAAAGTTTTCATATTGGCAAACGTGTCCATGAGAGCCTGGACTTACTATACATGCTTTCTGTCTTTGGTCATGTCCATATGTTTGACGTACATCACTCACTACAGTTATAATTGTCCTCACTTATATGTTATCACCGGTGGTGGAGGAGTCATGGTCACTGGACACGTGAACCTCAGGATGCCTTTCTCTGACAAGCTGAATACTTTCCATTCATTTCAGGAACATGTTAGGAAAGACACAAGTCTCCAGAACCTCATTAGCTCAGTGAGACATAAACTCTGCACACCGTGTTGGTTTCTTCTAGAATGAATGCTGAGGACGAATATTGACCCAACGCTCTATCCTCTCCTCTTGTATCTGATTTGAACCATCCTCAGATTTCCTTCCACAGAATCTTTCCTTTCTTGTCTGTTCATAAAAGAGAATATATCTAATGTTGTCTGCAGACAATTGGTATGATCATGGAAGTCAAGACTTTGCTATAATTTGACGGGTTGGAATTGACTTTGATATAATTTGTCAGGGCAGAGAACAGAGACAATTGATTAACTCATGATCTTGTCTCTCGTTTTCGTCACAGAAAATTTAAGAAATCTGCAACAAGGATCCTCATCTCAGAATACAGAGACAAGGACAGAGGACTCACATCTGTGGTGTGTCTGAAGACGATGCCTTGGCTGTCGTAGTAACTGATGGTTTTGGTTGCCATGGTGACCGTGACGAGAGACCAGTGGATTTCTAAATGAATGGGAATTAGCAACAGCCACTTGGAGAAGAGGTCGACCTAGAGGAACCCCAAAATTAAACACAGGCACAAGTTAGATATACAAAATACAAAATGACACAAATGTCTATGATATGTTACCTGGAATAATCAAAACTCAATAAGAGCTACAGATTACAAGGCAATAGTTTATAGACAGAATACTAGACAGAACCGATTTCCATGAAACTTTGTGGAGGGGGTGGGACATAACCCAAAGAAGAAACTTTTTAAATGTTGCAACAGAACCAAATAAAAAGGGGAAACTGCTTCTGGGAAACTGCACTGAATGTCTATGTCAAATGAAAAGCTGGAAATATAACTGTGATGTGATAATAAAGTTTCTTTTAAAGCAACTGGAAAACAACTTACCTTTTTAGTCCATCTCTTCACACCATCGTAACCCTTGGCAACAAGTTGCTTATGGAAAAAGCTGTTGAAAAAATGAACCTGAAAGAGAGAAATAATAGATCATGTTAACACATCGCACAGTAAGGACTTCATTAACTGTTTTATTAAGTGTGTCTAAATAGTATCTCATGCGTCTAAACAGAAGTTTAGAATCTAACAGTGAGTCATTTTTACAATGTATAAATATTATTCTATATCCTTTTGGGCTGCACGGAAACTCTGAATCACAGATCATCACTTACCTTTTGTTGAGTTGCTTCCATAATGAGTTCTCCATACATGTTGATGATCTGACCAGATATAAGAGCAGGTAAAGAGCAAAGAAAAACACTAAAATCAACAAAGGTTATTTTCTTTTAAACCCTCTGGCTTCAAATATGTTCATTATGAGAACTGTGTCCAGGCCTTTCTTCCTTCTTTACCTGGTCATTAAGCCAATTCTGTTCTTCCAGTGTGCCCAGGTCCTCCAGGCCCAGGGAGTGTTTGTTATACATCACCATGAAGCCTGGGACAGGAGCAGAGGCCAGGCTCGACCTGTACCGAGTCATCGCTCGTTTAATGTCCAGGCCCCTGAAGGAGGAGGAGGAATTCAATTTGAACACAAACCTCTGTGGTATTTTTTTCTATCTTCTAGGGCGTTTGAAGAATATTTACAAATAAAGACGGAAATTCGGAAGTTCACAGATGAAAATAACATGACTAAAATAAAGTCTTTAAACACAAATCAAACTCATGTAGGTTCTTCTGCTTATTATTTACTGAATACCAATTCCACATTCATAGGCTCGATTAGGCGAGTGGGTGGGTGCATGTACAAACCACTTGCTGAAGTCAGAGTTGCCGTTCTTCTTCAGGTGTTCCAGGACGTCTGTCTCACTGAGGGGAATGAAACTGCCATACTTTATGTAGAAGCTCTCCAGAAAATCTGAAACAGACCAAATCGTTATGATGCAATTATATGACCTACTGCATGAATCACAATGACAGGGTTGTTTTAAACCCCAAATTCAAAATAGGATTTCTGAACTCTAATCTAATCACATCCAAGCCTGTGCACTGATACGCTTTGAATAAGAAGTTTATATTCAAGACATTTTTGTGGGTTTTTGCGGACCAATTTTTAAAACCATGTGAAGATCCTGGTGGTAGAATAAGTAAGTGTTTTCTGTGCTACTTTTGTTTGATGTAAGATGCTGTTCTTTAAACTTGGGAGGTCTTTTGCATTTTTCCTACATCGAATAATTTACTTCACTCCAACTATTAATGACCATTAAGTCAAACTAAACATGTTTGCAAGCACTCAACTGTAAACATACATGTAGTTCTAATCTTGGAAATCATTTTTTAGGAAATAATTATTTTGCACAAACAGTTTTATCAAGTCTTTGTTAATGTTTCATGGAAGTGGCCACGTGCTCTGTGGATTTTATATGATGGGAATGAAATGCTGATCCTCAACAGTAACTTCTTCCAGTTTGTCGCTGTGTAAAAACATCAATGATTTACCATGTTGACTATAAGAATCTGACAGGACGAGCAAATATTTTCACATAGAGGCATGAATGCTTCAAAACACATCTTACCATGGACCATATCAGTGAGCTGCGCCAGACTGTTTTCATTCGACATCTTCACGTCCATCTCTGCTTCTTTTGAGAGATCCTTCCCCGACGCTTCTTCCATCGACTTCTTCTCCCAGGTTCCCAGGTGACAGTACAGCCTGTGGTCTGTTAAAGCCGAGTGGTGCTGCACACCGCACACTGTAATAGGGCACTGAGAAGTTTCCACTTCCATAGGTGTGACTCTGTGGTTATGGTCTGTCGATGTGGTGACATTTCCATTAGACAGAGTAACTGGCAAAGAACCTTGGTCTGTTCCATCATGAGTCTGGTCCATGTCAGAGTCAAGATTGTGGGTATCTGACCTTGATGCAGAGCCTGACTGTCTTGAAATGGATAGCAGTCCATTTCCCAGTTCACTCATAATCACATTATCCTCTTTAGCGTCTTCTTCAGATTCGGAGTCTGTCAGATTTACTGTGTCCCCATTACAGAACGGAGATTTAAACGTGCTGGGGTGAGTTTGCACTCCATGTTCCATCTGTGCATCTTTGTTCTCTTCCAGACTGTACGCTACCGTTGACTGAGGTGAGGCATCAACTTGAGACCCAGTAACCACACAACCCCCGCCTCGGCTCTTAATTCTAACTTCTACTTTCATTTTCGATGCAAACATTGCGCCTGTCATCATTCCCCTCCCTCTACCTCTGACTACCACTCTCCTGGCTGGCATTCCTGACAGTCTCATCTCCACATCTCTGTTAACCACACATCCTTTTCCACCTTCGCCAGGAACCTCCAACCCCTTTATCAACATGTCCTCATTTTTCTGCGTACATGCTGTCTCTGGGGCAGAACAGTTCCTTATTGGTGTGTCCTGCAGGGATGTGACAGGCACGGGAGGGAGGGTGTGAGTATCAGCAAGAGTGTGAGTATCAGCCATTATTACAGTTGTGTGCACCTTCTCGTACGTGTCATTTTCATCCTCTGCTTCCTCTACCTTCTCCTTGGTCAAATCAAAGCTATTGATATGTGTCAGCTGGGCCCCCACTTTTCTTTTTGGAATGTCCCAGAGGTCCTTAACAGCTCCCCTCCCTCTCCCCCTCCCTCTGCCCAAGGTTTTGACATTGTGTCCTTTACTGTTGGGTCCACAACAATCACAGGCCTTAGGAGTCCTCTTCCTGCCTGATGTACGGCCATTGACTGGGCCCTGAGCAGGGGTTGTTGTCTGCGTAGAGGACCAGGATGAGGCTGGGCTGGAGTTGCTTGTAAGTGCATTTGCTGGTGTAACAACAGGATCTGCATCAGCAGGAGACGTAGTAGAGAGCTGAGGGCAGATAGAGGTAAGGTCTGTGCTGAGGTGTTTAGCGGGGGTCTGTGTTAGGCCCTGACCAGAAGTGTCTCTAGGGGGAGGCACTAGGGGAGGTGCCACTTGCAGAGGAGGTGCTGTAGCAGGAACAGTCAGATGAGGTGATGCTGTAGGTGATGTTTTCATTGGGGAAGCAGAGCCGCTGTGAACCATGACGTCCTCCTTTGGCTCTCAAACCCCATCCCCAACACCCCCTCTCCACAGTAGTGTCCTCTCCTGTCCTTTGGTCCTCTAAAATAGTAGGCTTTGAAGTGTTCTCACTCTTTATTTTTTATCTTGACACTTCCCTGTGTGGATATAAAGTCGATTTCAAGCCTTTCCCACCACAGAGGTTACTGACGACAGCAGACTATATCATGGCCGGTCGCAGGTGTCTCCTCAGTGGCATCTAGACTGAGTGTGGAATAATGACACTACCATGATCTCCTAAGTAAAGACACAGAGACAAAGAGAAAGACAGAGAGAAAAAGAACTAGTAAAAGAAATGTCAAGGTTATTAATTTATAGAAAAATAAAGCAGCAGACCAAGGCTGTCTAATGTAAGTTGTTCAAAACGATTGTTCAGATGATTAGGTTAGAAATAAAAAGTACAGTATTTAGTATGACACTCAATAGTTCCTCCCACACCCAACCTCTCGGATCTCAACTGTAAGGAAATCACTCACATCACAACCTCAATAGCACATAACATCACTCAACCCTAATCACCCCATTGGCCTCAGGACACAGGTTCAGGTTGATAAGATGCAACAGGGAACGCTTCAGCTAAAGTCAAGTACCTGCAGCCACAGCCTAATAAAGACGTCACATCACCAACCCAGCTCTTTACTGTTTGTCAATGGTTCATGTTGAGGGGGTTGAATTTTCAACTGCGTCTGTTTGTTAGCAGGATTACTCAAACATTTCTCAACCCATTTCCTTGAAAGTTTGTGGAGGGTTGGGGCATGGTCCAAGGAAGAACCCACTTGGGTTAGGATCAATGGCCCGGTCACACGAAAGCATCAGTGGCGAACCTGCGCCTCCTATTCACACATGAATAAAACATCTGCTTCCTGTAGCGAAGCAAAACGCATCATAGCTTCACATAGAGTTCATCTTCATGCTCCTCATTTGCGTATGTGTGACCTGGCCCTGAACCTATTTATTTTTTACTTTCTTTGACACTGTGACACAATTTCATTGATTTCTCAGAGAATCGTTTGTGGATCTCGGGGGGAATAAAAACCAGGCATGTTTAGGAGACTGGTATCAATGAGTGTGTATAGTTATTGTTATTGTCGACTGATGTGTGAGCTTTAATTAACTAACTAACTAATTAAGTGTGTGTAAGAGAAGTTCAGCAGCAACGACAATGATGTTTAACATGTGTTTCAGATGCTCTGCATTTGTGTGAACATACAACCAACTACAAAAGATAAAATATCACAACTACACAACCAGTAGATACTTAGCTGTTAACGTCACGACACTGACAGTTAACTTTTTTCTTAGCTTCTCATTCACTCGTGTGGATAAATGAGTCGTTAGCATCTTTACCAAGTGTTGCTGAAAATCTCAGAAACATTTAAATCATCTAGTTAAACGAAAGCTGCGTTAGCTAAGCTAGTCTAACCCTGGGCATCGGATTCCCGGAGCGCGTCTACGCAACATTTACGAACACATCAAACCCAACAGGTGATTTAACCTGGTCTAAAAATGTGATTTCGCGGAGTTTACCCGGAGTTAGTGGTCCTTCCTGAAGCTAGCCGAGTCCGCTAGCTGCAGCCGAACACGGGCGACAACACACAAAGCGGCGATAACACACAATTCCTCCATTTTCAGGAGGAAGTTAAGAGGCGTCAGGAGGAGAGGAGGAGGAAGGGAGTCAGTGAGCGAAGAGACTGTGAGGAAGAGAAGCTGGGACAGAAGAGCGGAAACAGACAGAAGGAGACTTTACCTCGTCAGTGAGACGACAAACACAGTTTCATCAGGACACGGTTCGAAAAAAACAACAGTCCGAGCTGTCGTCGCTCGCTGATGACGTCACGACGCCGAGTCCGCGAGTCTCCAGAAATCGTCGTCACACGGAGGACACGCAACCAGATGTTTGTTATTTTACACAAAGATGTTCAGAGAAATACACGTTGCGGGTTTTAATCACCTTTTCAAACTTGGATCATTAGATTTGTTTGTTGTTTTTTAAATTGTTTAAGATGATGAAATCAATAATAAGGGTTAATAAGTTTATGGTAAAAAAAAAAAAAAAGTTTTTGAAAACATTTTTGACAGTTTGTGCTTTACGTCTCTTTAGATTTTTAGCATGCAGTGAGTGGCAGGATAGTATTTGTGAATATTTCTAAAGGAAAATTATTATTCTTATGTGTTCACAATCAGGTATTTATGAGGAATCATCCAGACTTTCTTCTAGTTGAAGACATTTATGAAATGATTCCTATTTGATATTAAATATTAAATTTCATCTTTAATGAAACAAGGCACTTAAATTTCTATTATCGATTTTAGGAGTTTGTGTGAAACAAATCTTCCCGACTGGTGAGTCGACCTCTTCTTACCTTTTGTTTCATTCTCTCAATCAAGATTTTTTGAGTAGAGTTTTGAAATTGGGAATTTCCTCCATTAAGTTTAATTTAATTTTACATAGCTGGGTGGACAACTGTCCCGGGACCCCAAAAAGCTTTAGATGTACTCTGTATCATTGAGTTTGTATATGATGATGAATAATGATGCAAATAATTTACATCACAGACGTACATCTATCGTCCATCTTGTTGCTCCAGTCTAAAGCTTTTTGTAAAGTTGTGATTAATCAATTATTTTCAACCAAGCATATTACAATATATTGTATTATATTTTATTATTTTAGAACAAAGAGCAAGATGGTGAATAGGCCTTGTACATATATATTATAACATACAGTGCATTAGTGTAATCAATTATTCCACCAAAGGAGAACTATGTCCTAAAATGATTTTCATTATAAATACCTTTGATTAATAATACAGTTTAGAAAATGTTCATCATTCCCTGAAGCGTGGAAGTACTTAATCGATTTTTTTGACCAACAGTTAAAATCGTACTACTAAAGATGTCTGTGAAACTACTATATTCACATATGCAAAACTATAATCATGTAGTTATACATTTATTTATAGCCACTATCCTAATCAATCAATCCAAAACCATTCCAGATGTAGTGTGGTGGTTTGTTTCTGGGTATAATGACACGTCCTTCATTTCTATCCATGAGATCACTGAAACAACACACACAGTGTCCTGATAATCTTTAATTATAAAAACCTAAGACTGGAAAACAATAAATAAAACTAACAGACAAAAAGTAAAGGAATTAAGTACAAAAGAATCAACAGTAAAAGGTTACATAGAGAGAATATTAACATAATGACTGGCTACTCGACATTAGTAGCTCCCAGCCTTTTCAAACTGATGACACGACTTTTGCAAAACAAAGAAATCCATCACAGCTAAATCAACTGTGAGAAAATGTCACATATCATCGATGAGTGAAATGGACGTAATGTCCAAAAAGTATCAAACGAGCAAATTCTGACAGTTTTTTTTAACATATGAACAAAATATCAAAAATATTTGAGCTTAATTCAATACTTCTGCAAACCGAGTCAGACCCACTGGCTTTAAAGATAATGCATTGAAATAAACACAGTCTGTTGCTATACATCACTATTTGTACATAAGGTCAGTGCTATATTATTCTCTACTAGCATGATCAAAAACAATAGGCATAATAAAGTCCCTTTACACGTGTCGTTTGGCTCCAATGGTGTCAGGTGATCAGACGTCATCAGTCCTACCTGAACACAGAACACGTGCAGCCGCGGGAGAAGTCTCACTTTTCACATAAACGCTGTGGCACTGTGGTTACTGATGCCAAAAGGAGTCATTGGTTAAAATGCTGCAGTTTTTAATAAGGAATTGGAGGAAATATGGTTTAAGGAAACACGTGTCACTGCTGAGACTAACTGTAAGTATTTGGTGCTTTTTAAAATGGTCCCATGCACAGTTACAGTAAATTAAAAAAAACTATATTGTTTAACCTTTTATCAGATGATTAATGAGCAAAGCTTTCCTGATGTTTGAAAAAAAAAGTCAGAGCAGAAAATACCTTTCATATGAAAATCTTTATGCAGAGGAATTTATTTTATTTTAAAGCTTTGCGCAGGTTGTTTGAACATGAACTGCAATGAACATATGTTAAACTGTGGAACACAACAGGGAAGTGGAGGCTGGTGAAGATGAGAGTGGTGCAGCAGTCGCTGGCGGATGATGCAGTTTGAGGCCTGGAAGAGATGATTCGACACAGGATTTGAATTTGATCATTTGAAGAGATAAAAGTGTTTTCAAGGGTTTTAAAGAATGTTTTAGAGAGAGCACTCCTACCTATCAAAGTTTGGTGTTGGTTGCTGGAGTATGAATGGTCTTGGAGACTGCAGCGCCATTGCTGCCCCCTGTTGTTAGCACCTGGAGCTGCAGCTGGTAGACACTATCGGCCTGAAGACCATGAACTGTCACCGACCGCTGAGACTGTGGATGAAGAGCCAGATTTAGTTCGATCACATAATTCTTCCCCAACCAGTCATCTGACTGATTAAGAAATAAACAGTGCAAGTGTTACAGTAAAAAACATTGTTTTTCAAAAAAAGTGTCCCCATTATACATTGTTATTACAGTAGACTGTGTATTTGCTGTTATTTTGGTGGTGTTAATGTGAGACAATAATAAAGCTCATGATAAGTTATATCAGGCGACGAGGCAGGATTTGTTTAAAAACAAATATCAAGAAATCAAGAAAACTATATTTTATCTATTACAGGGACATTTTTTATAACGTTTCTTTACTTTTCCATTTGTATTATATTATTTAAAACAGTATTTCCTTCCTGCTACTAACACAATAAAATGCTGTCACTGTGTGTAAACCCTTCTGTCTGTCTCACCGGTGCAATCGTCTGCGTCTGTGAGATGAGTGTGTCATCCTGCTCTTCTGTTGACGTGATAACCGACTGTAGTGTCCAGGTGAACTGAAACCCCTCGACAGCTGCCGGGTCCAGTGCATGCTGGGACATTCTCCAGCGAAACGTAGCGAGCAAGGAGCCGTTGACTCGTTGAAAATCTGCCGTCAGCCTTTCTGGACGCAGTACCACCTTTCTGCCTGACAGGAGGCGCTCTGACATAGACAAAAGATCACTCATAAACACTTCTCATTGGGTTTGATGGTTCTTACACAAAGATGTCTGGGTGTTTGTTCAGTTCAATTAATTGAAATGCATTGATCTACTGTGACTGTGTAGGTAGATAACATGGGGCGTCTTAGTGTGTGAGTACGTGCAAGTGCAAATTCAGTTCTTATACAATTTGTCTTAATCTTCCCAAAAGAAGACGACATGAGTCGCAGGAGCCACTTCAAGGAAACTAAATGTTAAATAAGCATGAAGGATCAGGTAGGTCAATGAAAAACTGCCTTTACATCTGTGTTTAGTTACTCCTACCCTCAGTGTTGCAGGGCAAAGCTTTGCCTCCTCTGACCCTGATGGAGGAGCAAGTCGGGGTCGTAACCCAGGCAACAGCCTCTGACCCGGGGTCGGACTTCATCGCCACAGCCACTTGGTACTTACAGGCAAACAGCAGACCCGTGATGGTGTGATGAGTGCCCTGGAGAAAGAAAATCAAGTCGTGTTAGGGGTAAAAATCTGGACAGAACTGGTTGTTAAAAGTGAAGTTCCACAAAGTGTCCATATTATCTCCATGTTTGTTTGGAAACCTGTCTCCTACAAGCAGCCATGTTAAAATAAACACCGGCGTCTGAAGCAGTGCTTGGCAGATCTGTAGGCTGGCAGCTTCGAATGGCAAGAGCTGGTGTAACTGTTTAAAAAGTCTGAACTTCAATGAACAGAAATCATATTCTGTGACCTCAAATTGCTCAGATCACTTTTCTATTTCTCACACGCACGCACGCGCACACACGTTTCTTCTCTGGGTTTAAAATATCATTTTCTGAGTTGCATTACCCATAGATCCATTTCAGTCAAACCACTGAATTACCAGTCGATTAGGAACAACTGTACAACCTAATGCAATTCAATGTTCCAACCCAGCAATAATGTTTGTTTTTAATTGCGGAGGCTTTTACTTTTTGTATCTGTCAGTTTGGTTTTGTTCTGTTTAGATCACACTACCTTTTGTGTAACAACTTTCTCCAGGCAGACAAACCACAAACACCTTACATGATCCTGGACGGTGAGTGTTACAGAAGAGGTTTACTGAAAAGCATTAGACACCGTGACACATGTTGATGTTCGGACCTGTGAATACTCCGTAGTCAAAGCTACATTGTTGACGGGTGTTGTCCCATAGCAAATCATATATCACAATCAGAAAAAACAGATTCAACGTCTGGTGGCCTTGCTCAAAACACATCTTTGAACTCAAACTTAATTTGGAAATCAACTACACAACTGTTACAAAGTTTTGTAACTGTATGTTGGACAGTTGTTCTGTGCACAGACAGATGGACGGTCAGAAAAGACAGACCGACGGACAGACACCTGTTAAAGTACTCAAAACTTCCTCTGTGGCACTTCAAAACACAGTAGGTATCTCCAATACCATATTTCGCCATGATAACCCACATTGTTGCGGCTGGTAAAAATTACACAGGGTATTACTTTAAGAAACAAAATGTACCTGACACACACACACACACACACACACACACACACACACACACACACATACAGGAATATAAATGTAGGATACCTCAGCCAGGGATCTGACAGGGTTATGATACTGTAAATGTGATGTTAGACAGAGAATTTGGCAGCGAGACAAGGAGAGCATTCCACACTGATCTGAGTTATGGCGATGAAATCTGATCT